AATATGTAAGCTGCTAAAGTTTATCTGAAGGCATATTGATCTTATGACATTCCGAGAAATCTTACTGACTTACTTCATTATGCATTTCATTCATTTATACATGTACATTGACCCATGACCATATGACGTTATATACATGTATATTTTTTGTATATGGGATATGAAAAAAAGGTTATGGCGTTATATGCACACCACCACCTGATCAGCTGGTATACGTTGATGATTTTGCCCATAGTGGCCGAGATGATATGATGGGATGACCTCGAAGGCTTGGTGATATTATGTATGCATATACCTATGCATGATATGACATTTATACGCATATGCAAGACATGCAGGTTGAGTTCTTTTCTCTATTTTCCTTCGTGTATCTTATATACTGCTTTCATGCCTTACATACTCGGTACTTTATTTGTACTGACGTCTCTTTTTCCCAGGGACACTGCGTTTCATGCTCCCAAGTCTCGATAGACAGGTTGAGAGTCCTCCTAGTAGGCTATCAACTCAGCGGAAGGTGTTGGTGCACTCCACATGCTGCGGAGTTGCCTATTTGGTCAGTATGATTTAGACACGTATTGATTAATATGGTGGGTCCTTGTCCCAACCTTTGTGACATTTATGTACTTTTAGAGGCTTGTAGATAGATGTTATGCATATGGATACTTGTAAGGTCTTGTCGGCCTATGTTTTAAGTATACAAAAGATCATATCGGCCTTATAAGCATGTATGTCATATGTATAAGTTGGTATATCATGTTGGGTCGTCCTATATAGAGTATTACCTCATGTTTTACTCTAGTTATTTCACAATAGCTTTTCCAATTCATTTACCTATAATAGTATGATATGAAAGATATGTTACATTGGTAGTCGATTGAGTAAGGTACCGGGTGCCCGTCGTGGCCTATCGGTTTGGGTCGTGACAATACTTGACTTCCAGCATAATATATTGGAGTTCCAGTATAATATACCGGTCCAACATAATATGCTAGAAGTTCATACACAGGTGCTCCAATCTCCAGTATATTATGCTGGAACTTTCAGCGTGTTAGAGTTCCAGCATTATATGTTGAAAGTTAATACACAGGTGCACCGATCTCCAGTATATTATGCTGGTTCCCATACTGATGCTGAGCAACTATGCCATTCCAACCTGCAGTAAGTTTTACACACGTATGTTAAAAAATTGTTTACTTCTCTTTAAATTGTGACTTGTAATAAGCACATAGGCAGATCTAGGAAGTAGAGGCATATTTATGTGAATGAGTATGGTGCACGTGAACTCATATTTCTCTTTGTATACTATGTATAATAATGTTATGTTTCTTAAAATCTAGTACTAAAATATATATGTGGGTACTCAAGCTCAAAGTCCTTAATACAATTTTTATAAGTGAAGTTAGGGGTTCAAATCTCATATTTCTAGGCATGTCTAGTGTACCCTTTTGTATTTTAAGTTAGTAGTACTTTTTTTTCTTTTGTTCTATTTAGTTTATTGATTCAAAATCCCTAAATCTAACAATGGTTGTTCTCCTTTTGTCCTCGCAAAATCTTATATAGTTATACAAATATCTATTTTAAAACTCATAGTAGTGGATAATGTAGCATATAATCAACAGGTACAATGATTTCAATATTTTTTATATGGAGTGTAAGTATGTATATTAAAAATCACTAAAATTACAAGAAATTTTTTAATTTTACCTATAATTTCTAAATGATATTGAATTTATGATAAGAATTAAAGATTGAACCCGTAAAATTTTTAAAATTCACCTCTTTGTAATAGTGCACCCATATTCTTGAAATCTTAGATCCGCCTCTGTATAGAGGTTGCCCACTTGTAGAATAATAAATTGTTCCATCTCTGGAAAGTATCCACTAAAGTACTTCCCAACCAAATCTTTATCGGTGTATCTGCAGTTGTCCTTGTCCCCATTAAAGTTTTTTGCTGGAACTTCACTTCAAAATTTCCAGTCCATTTTATGATTGATAGTAAAATGAATGAATTGTTCAAAAAGTAAATTATATTATTTTAATAATAATTAATAATGACATAGACTTTCGGTGTTATACTGTGATGCTCTCCATGTGACTTATATGTAAAGTTGAAGGGCTATGAGTGCCTCTTCCACATCAGAGTTGACCGCGCCTGTGGTGATTCTATCAATCATACACGTAGGTAGGACCTTCCATTCTGATTGGTCACGGGTTCGAGCTAAAATCAGTCGTTGATGTTTGTATCAAGGTAGGCTACCTATATCACACCCCTTGAGTACGACCTTCCCGGACCCCTGCATGAATACAGGATGCTTCGTGCATCAGGTTGTCCTCTCTTGCGAATGAACCAAAATTTCAAGCCTAGGAACCCTATAGACTACAATTACTACCGTCAAGTTCTACATTTTAGGGGTCGTTTGGTTGGGAAAAAAATTATCTCATGATTAATTATTTCGGAATTCATTATCTCGTTTTTCATAGGGATATACTACAATCCCGAGATAATTAATCCCGAAATTAGTTATACTGCGATTTTATCCCAATCAAATATGGGATAAACTCTTCTAAAATTTAATCTCAAAATTAATTATTCCTTATCTTTTGTACCAAACGAGCTCTTAGAACTATCTTTCACCACGTAAAAACATGGTTCAACACATGATTCAACGTACTAATTGTGCTTACTATTTTAGCACCTAATATGATTTTCTTTTCCAAATCAAAACTATATAGTATATATCATTCATATATTCAAGCTGATTTTTTTCTATGCTATTTTTGGTCAGTAATATCTTTGTTAAATCAATCTAATATAATTTCAAATGATGAATTTACCAACTTGGGTACCTTTTTTTTAATTTTCTTTTATTAAGGGGCAAACTTGTCAAATATATACAAGAATCAAGGGTCATGAATGTAATTACATCTTTGGAGGGATCTGAAATCTGTTACATTCAATTCACCATATAGAAAAAGATTATTTTAAATTGGGAATCAGTAATCACCTTGATCATAAGAATCTTGTCCTATATTATATTTGAAAAAAAATTATTAGTATATTATTATAAGTAATTAGCAAGAAAGAGCAAAGAGAAAACAGTATTTGTTATTCCCAGTAAAATAACATAACATATTAAAATCCCCTCCTTATTTTACCAAGATTATCCTTAAATCAAGTTACATTAGTCATTTTCCCAAGGTTATATATGGAAATTCACTATCTTGAATGCGCCTAAAAAAGTGTCCAAAAAAGTAACATTGAAGATAGTGGGGATTAAATTTTTAAGACACCTCAAAACTTATATCAACTTTTAAGACAAAAATGTTAAGAATAAGATTAATGACATAATTTTTAAACCCTCAAAGTTTTTTTATTTACAAAACATCCCCTCCTCCTCCCACTCCTCCCCTCCTACTCCTCCCCTTGTTTCTCCATCTCGCATCGCTCCTCTCTATCCCCTGCCATTCCTAATCCTCAAACATTTTAGGAAGATATTTCGAACATATGTGAAAAAAAGATCAATGAGGACAACACTAGAAAAAAGAAAAAAGCAGAAGAAATATCCCGATGGATGTTTCAAACATCCCGGGAGATGTTTCAAATAGAATATTCATTTATGGGGATGTATCAAAAATATTTCGAGGGTATTTTGCAAAATACTCACTTTGTAAAATTTCATATTTCTCTTTCTCTCATATATTTTAAACCACTAGAAAAAAATGAAAGAAGAAGAAGATGAAAATGAGATGAAGAGGGAAAAAAGAAAAGGACAAAGAAGAAAATGAAGAAGAAGAAGATGACATATCCGAACCATTGGCAGCAATGTATACGGTCAAAATCAAGGAGTATGATTTTGAAGTCTTGAATCGGGCTATAGTCTGTGAGACTCGAAGTGTGTGTCGTATCCGGTTAGGGAACACCTACCTCGAGGATGCTGATCGAATGCCTGGCACGGACTGCATCGAGGGCAACATTATCTCGAAGTCAATCAAGAAAGAGCGGAAATTTCTCAAAGACACGTGGAACTGGGCATTAATTATAGGATAAGGGTTGTACGAAATGGTACAGGTCCGTACTAGGCCGTTATACACCTGTGCCAATAGAATTCTTTACCTTTATAAGCAAGGTACTATATTGGGGTTTTCTCCTCCTATATAAAGGGGACCCCAATCAATTTGTAAAGGGATCAGATCATTCACTGCAATAGAATATTCTTATTCTTCTCTTGTTTAGCGTGCTCAGCAATTATTCTTCAGCTTTATTGCCTTTACTCATTTGTTCATATTTTATTGGTCTTAGCTAACTTCGAGGTCCCTGGAGAGACGAGCTCGAGCCCCTACTGTTTTAACAACATTGATTTGGTTCATTATTCCTTCTTACTTTAGCTCAATATTACTTGTATAATCACTAGTATTAGAATATATCACATATCTTTAGAGCCACAAATTATCTTTAATTGTTACTCACATTTTTCGAGGTAAACAGTTTGGCGCCCACCATGGGGCCGAAGATAATAGTGATTATTTTAGTGCTAGTTTTCTGATAACACACGTTATTCTTTACACTTTTTCTTGTCAAAAATTCTTTGATTTCAGACTTAATCATGTCTAGCACACAGAATGCACCCATCCACGAGGACGAAGGTCTAGGAGAAAATAGCGTCATAGGGCTTGGTATGCCACCCGTAAACCCTAGGGGAGTGCATAACGTGGAGCCGGTTGATATCAAATCACACAATGCTCTAAACACGGACGCAGGCACAGACCCCGTAAGGAATGAGCACAGGGAAGCCCAGGCCGGAGGCCAGGAAACACGAGGACTGGAGGAAGGAAGAGTCAACCTCCAAGTGATATTCGAGATGCTGCAAGCTCAGCAAGTCGCCATCACTCAGCTCCAAAGTCATAACAGAACTCCTAACACAGTCGAACCAGTAAACACATAACACAAACCAGTGCTTGAAAGACCCAATGAAAGCGGCTCGGGGACTGACCCCACGATCATGAAAATGCTCGAAGAACTGACTAAAAGGACCGAGTCAGGAGAAAAGATGTTAGAAGACAACGATAAAAAGGTGGAAACTTACAACTCCCGAGTAGACCAGATACCGGGAGCACCTCCAGTTTTGAAGGGCCTAGATGCCAAAAAATTCATACAAAAACCTTTTCCCTCGAGTGCGGCTCCGATGCCCATTCCTAAGAAGTTCCACATGCCCGATATACCGAAGTACAATGGAACAACTGACCCTAATGAACATATTACTTCTTACACTTGTGAAATTAAAGGAAATGACTTGAATGATGATGAAATCGAGTCAGTATTGTTAAAAAAGTTTGGAGAAACACTATCAAAGGGAGATATGATCTTGTATCATAACTTTGCTCATAACTCCATTGATTCATTTGCTATGTTAGCGGATGTATTCGTAAAAGCCCATGTCGGGGCCATAAAAGTGGCCATAAGAAAATCAGATGTATTCAAGATTAAACAAAGGGACGACGAAATACTAAGGGAGTTCGTGTCCCGGTTTCAGATGGAAAGGATGGAATTACCCCCGATCTCCAATGACTGGGCAGTTCAGGACTTTATGCAAGGTTTGAATGAAAGAAGCTCGATAGCATCTCGACAGCTAAAGCAGAACTTGATCGAGTATCCAGCTGTGACATGGTCGGATGTGCACATCGGTATCAGTCAAAAATTAGGGTCGATGATGACCAGTTGGGAGCCCCCTCGGTCTCAGTTCACCCGAACATATTCACAGTCAAGCCCCCGAGAGACACAGATTGGGGATCAAGATTCTACAAGGAAAGATATCAACCGTACGTCGAAGATAGAAGGAATATTTCAAGGCGTAATGTACCTCAGAATAATCGAAGAGTAGATCGAGGCCAGAGCTCTAGGGGATTCGTGGGCAAAATCGGGTCCGACAGGCGCTCAGGACAAGTGGAAGCTCCCAAGTTACCAGAATACAACTTCAGTGTCGATGCCTCTAATATCGTCTCAGCCATTGGCAAAATTAAAGATACTAGATGGCCCAAGCCCATATAGACAGATGCCTCTCAAAGAAACCCCGACTTAATGTGTAAGTACCATGGTACTCAAGGGCATAAGACCGAGGATTGCAGACAGCTTAGAGAGGAGGTAGCTCGACTATTCAACAAGGGACACCTTCGTGAATTTCTCAGTGACCGGGCCAAAAACCATTTCCGAGAAAGAGATGCAAACAGGAATAATGAACACGAAAAACCTCAATATGTCATTCACATGATCATCAGTGGAGCCGACATCCCAGGACATACATTCAAACGTGCTAAAGTGTCCATCACAAAGGAAAAACGGACTTGGAGCTACGTGCCCGAGGACGCTCTATCATTCTGCGACAAGGAAGCAGAAGACATATCCCAGCCTCACAACGACGCCTTGGTAATCTCTATGCTTTTGAATAAAATTCAAGTTAAACGTGTTTTAGTGAATCTAGGTAGCTCGGCGAACATAATCAGATCGAGGGTCGTGAAACAACTCGGCCTACAAGATTAGATTATACCTGCATCCCGGGTGCTGAATGGCTTCAACATGGCAAGTGAAACAATGAAGGGAGAAATTATCTTGCCTATAAACGTAGCCTGGACCATACAAGACACTAGGTTCCATGTCATTGAAGGTGACATGAGGTATAACGCACTCCTCGGGAGGCCGTGGATACACAATATGAGGGCAGTCCTTCTACTCTCCATGAGATGATGAAGTTTCCGACAGAGGAAGGACTGAAAACAGTCCACGGAGAACAGCATGCTGCAAAAGAGATGTTCGTAATCGAGGAATTGGTGCCGATATCGGAACCCTTGACCTCGGAGACATCGACCTCCAAAGGTAAGTAGGTGGCTAAGTAGTAGTCACAGCTCCGAGCCTCGACGGAAGCAGAATAACAGGTAATCAAAGGTGAAGAAAGGAATTCCCCAGATCTTCGAACCCTTGTTGTTCCCGAAAATCCCAATGCTACTAAGCCAACCGCTGAAAAAAAAGGTACACCTGGGAGTGGGATTAATCCCCGCTCTCAGGAAAAAACTCATTCAGTTTTGTGTTGATAATATAGATCGCATTGCTTTGCCCTATTTAAATATGACAGGGATTCCGCTCGAAGGATAAACAGGTAAAATAATTAAAACTTATATTGATGATATGGTCGGATAAGTCCCTGTGCACAGATGAACACTTTAATTCATTTGCAGGAAATAATCAACATATCGGGTTAATACGACACGAAGCTGAACCTAAAGAAGCATTCCCTCGGAGTTGGCGCGACTGAGTTTCTCGGCCTTCGTGGTACCAGGTCAAGGCTCTAAGAGAGGTCATGGTCGCGGATAGCAAGACCTCGGAGTCATTGATAAAGGATCTTACAGGCTCAGCATGATGGAAGCTCTCAAAGGCCCGTGATCTCGAGAATACCCCTTACCGCACAAAAGCTGTAGGTCGCAAAGCATGTGTTGCACTCTTTTTCCCTTAGCTCGGATTTTATCCCAAATGGGTTTTACCAACAAGGTTTTTAACGAGACAACACTTATATGCTACCCGAGGAACGATCAACAAGTATTCAAGGTTTCTTTTCAATCAACCTCGAATATTGGGGGGCATCACCCTCGGAGGTTACATTTATGGGAAATATATTTCACGATTAAGAGGGTTTCGATAGGAAAGCTTTGTAATGGGCCAACCGGTCAAACGAGCCATGTCCATATAGAATAGTCGAGCCCCGGCAGCAAAACATGTATGCATATATCGACTATTTGAAGAAGCATTCAGGTTATATCAAACATATTTTGTGTCTCATACAAGCTCTACACTTACAATCCTACGGGAAACGACTTAAAAGCCAAGACATAGAAGCACCATGAAAATTCGGGGACTGCCATCAAAATTCGAATTAGTAAGACCTCAAAGAGGCACCCCTTCGAAACAAAGGCCAAGGCCAATTTTCTCGGAGTTTAACTTCTCGAACAAAGTTCAGAAAGTTATTGGGTAACAAGTCCAAGTGACATACCCAAAGGCTATGGCCATACTAAAGACTACGGTCATATAATGTCTACAACCAAATAAAAGACTACGGCCATATAAAGGCTACAACTAAATAATGTGGCTCGGAGACGTCCGACTTCCGCTATAAATTAAAAGGCCTTCAAACACTTCGTAAAAATCGGTTAAATCAGGATACCCTCGGCAAAATCTAAATGCAAAGGGCTTCAATAACATCGACCCTTAGAAACACCTCAAGAGGTGTTCGATTACATTTGCACAAATAAATCATTAATAAGGTTCTGATATGTTGAACCTTCGAAAAACCTACGGGTGCAAAAAATACATGTTAAGGCATAATCAAATTTTCACTAAGTCTTTTAAGCCGAAATGAGGGAAAAATTATATAGCCTTTCTAAGAGGCTAAATCGGCCCAACTTAAAGAGCCTAAGGGCCGATATATAAGATCTTAATGGCCAATCTTAAAAGAGCCTAAGGGCCGATATATAAGAGCCTAAAGGCCAATCTTAAAAGAGCCTAAGGGCCGATATATAAGAGCCTAAAGGCCAATCTTAAAAGAGCCTAAGGGCTGATATATAAGAGCCTAAGGGCCAATCTTAAAAGAGCCTAAGGGCCGATATATAAGAGCCCAAGGGCCAACCCCGAAAGGCCTAAGGGACTAAAACTTATAGATCGAGACTCCGCTTTCATTTCAATTCGGACTCGAGGTTCATAATATCCTGAGCCCACTACGAATTGATTTAAACTCGGCTCGAAAATTATCTAAGGGTTTATAATATCCCGAATCAATCCTCGAACCAGTCATTCAAATGAAGTCTTCCATAAATAAAGGCAATGTTGAATACAGGCCATGTTAAAACCAGCATTAGCCAAAGACGAGATAAAAGTTCCCCTCGTATTTCCAAAAGATGATTACAGGAAGTATTTACACAAGAAAGGCTTACAAGGAAACAAAATAAAGTGACCTAAAACTACTTCAGGGTCACATCCTTAACATCCGCATCTTCATGAGTCGCATCTTCAAGAGTCTCACCCTCGGGGACTTCATCCCCATCTCTTTCACTCTCAGAAACACCGGCCGAATCATCGTCATCAGAAAGCAGAACGACCGCCTCTTCTTCCAAAATCTTCTCCGCTTTAATATCGGCCGAAAGGTCGAAGCCGCGGGCATGTATCTCCTCGAGGGTCATCCTCCAAGATTGTCGCCTAGCATGGTTAAGGGAACTTGATAACTTAACCTCCGTTGTAGAAGAGATCTCAATTGCCCGAGCATTAGCTGCTTCGCCATCGGCTCGATACGAAGCCATTTTTGTCGCAACATCAGATTTAGCCTTGGCAAGCTCAACAACAGATTTGGCCTTAAGCTCCTCGATCTCGAGGCCCCGATCTTGTCTCTCCTCCTTCACACCTTGGATCTGGCGTTTGAGTGAAGCTAACTGCTCTCTTAGAGTCTCCTTCTCGAAGGCGAAATTGTCCATACCTTGCCTCAACCCCAGGATCTCGTTTTCTTTCGTCTTAAGCTCCTCTCGAAGTTGTGCCTCCAAGTCGGACTTCTGATGAAACTGCGAAATTAAAAGTATCAATCACCAATATAAACTAGTGCATAACAAACCCTCGAGAGTTGTGTTATCTTTTCAACATACTCGGCCCGTCCTTGGCATGCCTGCGTTAACTTAACTCGGAGATTGTGGATCTCCAACTTTTTTTTAGCATATAAGGCTTTGATAGCGTCCTTCTCCTCCAAAGTTTTGCATCGAGCAAGATCGTCTCGGGACTTGGAAAATGCGCTTTTATGGAGAATTGTAGCCTTCATAAAGAGGGAGGAAAGAACATTCAAAACAGCTAAAACAACGGCGCAGGCATAAAAACAGAAAACTTACTTGTTCAAAAATGAAGAAAGCATTTGGGTCGGGGCCGTCTTCAAGCCCTGCGAGGCATTCTTGAAAGATGTCATTCCCTTCATGGCTTACTTGCACTCCAGAAGATCTCATATTCACAGCCTCCTGGATTTGCCCCTCGGAGAACTCGGGGCCAGGGGGAGAATCATCCACATTGATCACCCCGAGTGATCTGCTCGGGGCATTTTCTTTTATTTGGAGAGGCTTGGGGTTAGGACGTTTGCCCTCACCCTCATAATGATCCCCTAAACGAGGCGCATTCTTTCTGGACAATGGTTCGGGGACCTTGTTTGAACTCCCTTCGGAGATTTCTTCAGTTCTAGAGTAGGCATCATCAGCCGCCATTGGTTCGGTGGGCTTCGAAGCATCAACATTCTTTCTTTTACGATTTACCAACAAGCAGTCATCATCTTCTTCTTCCTCCTATTCCCGAAGGCGTTGGGCTGTTTCCAGAGATAAGGTCGTCGTATCGGCCTTAGGCCTTCGAGCCACGCTCTTTTTTGGCTTCGGGGGATTTTCAGATGTCTCATTTCTTCTTTTTCTTTCTTTGGGAGGCTTCGGAGCCTCCACTTCACCAACTGGGGGCCAGCCGCAACTCAATGGCGTCTCCAAGACCTACATGAAACCGAGGTAAGTATCCCATAACGGAAGTACAAGAAAACAAACGAGAGAACTCACCGTGATTTTTGACCTCCCATTGACCCTTGGCCAGATCTTGCCAGCAACGCTTCGAGTAAGAGGAGCTTTCGGACCCAGCCCTCGAGGTCCGGGACCCCACCGGGGAACCAAGCAGCGGCTACACCATCGTAAAGAGGTTAGATCAAAGAAAAATACAAAGTCAGGGAAAAGAAAAGAAGGCAGTGGATACTCACGTTTCATGTTCCACTCCTCGGGGAACGACATCCAATCAGCAGGAATCAGATCGAAGGTTTTGACTCGAACAAACCGGCTCATCCACCCATGGTCTTTGTCCTCATCGATACTATTAAACAGAGATTTTAAGGATCGACATTGCAATTTTATCAAGCCCTCACGATAAAAGTCGGGGACTGTACAGTCTGATTAGATGATCAAGGGTAAAGGAAATCCCCTCGATTTGGTTAAAAAACCTGATTAAGTAAACGATTTGCCAGAAGGAGGGGTAGATTTGGTTGAGTGTCGCTTGGTATCATTGGCAAAAATCAAGAATAACTAGATCTATAGGACCCTGAGCCGGAATTGTAGGACCCAACATAAAAGCGTAGGTATATACGCTCAGGTACCCTGCTTTATACGTGGTGATGTCCTCCTCGGAGGAAGGAATCACTATTCCTTTATTGTCCCACTTACAATCTTCTTTACTTTCTTGAGCTCAGCTTTGGTCACCAGACAAACATATCGAGACATGGGCTCGCATCGACCTGGTGTCAAAACAGGTTTCTCGATTTTAAAATGGGATATAATTTCACATGGAGCGCAAATACACTCCTCGATGCGAGGGGCTCCTCGATGCGAGGGGGCACTACCAGTTTACTCTTAGTCGATCGAGAAGATGAATGAGCTTTTTCCTTTTGAGGAACGGATTTAGAAGTTTTATCCATCACTAAGTGGAGGATCCGAGAAGATGAAAAATGTTGTTAGAAAAGAGAAGAGAAAGTTCAAGGAGATTAAAAAAAAGGATAATGAGGCTTTGAAAACAATATGGGAATAAAGTTTGAAAGGTTGTGGAATCTATCTATTTATAAAGATTATTTAAGCGTGCTGAGGAAGCCAAAAGGCCGACCGTCAGCCGCCTTCAATTAATGATTTTGGGAATCGTACAAAAAGAAACTTTTCAGTCACTTCAACCACTTATGTCATGATATTGGCATCAGGACCAAGGCATCGGAAACTAATTAGTCAAAAATTATTAAGGACAACCTACAAGTCGAGTTCGAGCAAACACTCACTCGATTACTAAGCCCAAGGGCTACCCAAGTTCGAGAAAATTCTCATTCGGGGCTATCTATAAAGCCTAAGGGCTATCTCTATTTCGAGTTCGAGCAAACACTCACTGGATTACTAAGCCCAAGGGCTACCCGAGTTCGAGAAAATTCTCATTCGGGGCTATCTATAAAGCATAAGGGCTATCTCTATTTCGAGTTCGAACAAGCGCTCGCTCGGCTATTAAGCCCAACGGCTACCCGAGTTCGAGAAAATTCTCATTTGGGACTATCTACAAAGCCTAAGGGCTATCTCTATTTCGAGCTCGAGCAAACGCTCACTCAACTACTAAGCCGAAGGGATACCCGAGTTCGAGAAAATTCTCATTCGGGGACTATCCATCAAGCTTAAAGGATATCTTTATTTCAAGTACGAGCAAACGTCCACCCGAATATTAACCCCAAGGGCTACCCGAGTTCGAGCAAATTCTCATTCAGGGACTACCTATGAGGCCTAAGGGTTAACTTTATTTCGAGTTCGAGAAAATTCTCACTCGAGGGGCTATCTACGAAGCCTAAAAGGGCTAACTTTATTTCAAATTCGAGACCTTGCTCCCACTCAACTCAAACTCAGGAGTCCCAGTGTCCCGAGCTCGCATCAAATCAACCTAAGCCTAGCTCGAGGATTAACAAAGAACCTTAACAGGTGTTATATTAGTCGATTAAAACCTAAGGGTTTATTATGTTCCGGGTCCAGTATTCGGACTAATCGCTTGAGTTATACACTCAGATTTTTCACAAACGAAGGCATAATGGAACCCAACACGAATCGTAGTTGAAATAAAGAAATTCTTATATTGACAAAAGATGTTTACAAAGCCCACAAGGGGACTTTACATAGAAACAAAGAAGCAAAAACAAAAGCCAAAAACCTAATCTACTTTTGGGAGCATATCCTCGAGAACGACATCTTCGAAAACCTTCTCCTCGGGGACTCTATCTCGATCTTTAGAGAAAATTGTAGCCTGGTGAAAAACTTGGTGAGTATGGGTCTTGTCAGCACAACTATTTTGAAGCCACTTCTTGAGACATTGTACCGGTGTGAGATGCAAAATTTAGTAGATGATAGTGCCACCTCATTTCATGGAAAGCAAGGGGAATGAAGCGTCACACCAGGTTGAAGTTAAGAGAGATGAGCAACAGAGTAAAGTTCACGTATCTTCTGATACGAGAAGAATTCGGTGCCCTTCTCTCGTTGTTTCGAGCCAACAACAACAACAATAACAACTTAGTATAATCCCACTTAGTGGGAAAAAACGTTGAAAAAAGGAGCCATGACATAACTGATAAAATTGCTGCCATGTGACCTTGTGGTCACAAGTTTGAACCATAAAAATAGGTGATTAGAGGAGGATATAGAGAAGGGAAAAGGCTAAAAGTTGATGAAGAAAGAATGAGTGTAGATTTGTTCAGCCAAGTAACCCCTTATTTATAGAAAGACACCGATGAAACCGACGACGCATTCAATGCTTCTGGGGAAATGGACCAGCGGTACATTCAACGCTTCTGGGGAAACGAACCGACGGGACATTTCGTTCACTTCAAAAGCCTACGTCATAAGCATGACATCATCGCCAAAGGCTCGGGAAAATCGAGGCTCGAATCATTTCATATCATTTCATTCTAAGAAATACGAGGACTATCTGTATACGGTCAAAATCAAGGAGTATGATTTTGAAGTCTTGAATCGGGCTATAGACTCGAGTCTGTAAGACTCAAAGTGGGTGTCGTATCCGGTTAAGGAACACCTACCTCAAGGAAGATGATCGAATGCCCAGCATGGACTACATTGAGGGCAGCATTATCTCGAAATCAATCAAGAAAGAGCGAGAATTTCTCAAGGACACGTGGAGCTGGGCATTAATTATAGGATAAGGGTTGTACGAAATGCTACAGGTCCGTACTAGGCCGTTATACACCTGTACCAATAGAATTCTTTACCTCTATAAGCAAGATGCTATATTGGGGTTTTCTCCTCCTATATAAAGGGGACCCCAATCATTTTGTAAAGGGATCAGATCATTCACTGCAATAGAACATTCTTATTCTTCTCTTGTTTAACGTGCTCAGCAATTATTCTTCAGTTTTATTGCATTTACTCATTTGTTCATACTTTATTGGTCTTAGCTGACCTCGAGGTCCCTGGATAGACGAGCTCGAGATCCCTACTGTTTCAACAACATTGATTTGGTTCATTATTCCTTCTTACTTAAGCTCAATATTACTTGTATAATCGCCAGTATTAGAATATATCACATATCTTTAGACCCACAAATTATCTTTAATTGTTACTCACATTTTTCGAGGTAAACAAGCAACAACAAAAGTTGAAGAGAAATAAGAAAGTAAAGAACAAGAATGAGAGAATGAGGAATAGCAAGTAGAAAGAAGAAGAACTGTATAGATGGCAATGGGGCAATGCGGGGTGGTTGCGAGGCGGGTTCAACCTTAACCCGCGATGATTTCAACCCGCCCCGCACCGCCCCGCATGACAAAATTTTCAGTTTTCAACCCGCCCCGCCTCGCCTCGCATAAACCCGCCATGCATAACAAAAGTTTTCTATTTTTTTTCAATTTTAATGAGTAATTTTAGCCTATTATTATACTATGTCTAAAGCTTCCCTTTCTTATTTATATACAAAAAATTATGAGAAAGTTTCGAGAAGAGTAATACTCTATTTAGCAAAATTTTTAATTTTTATTTACTTTAAGAGAGTTTCCAGAAACTACTTGCGTGAGACTACCATTTGCGTTTAGCTAAATCACTTTTTTTAAAAAAATACTCCTGTTAGTATTAGATGAGCAACTTATATTAGACCAATTTCGCAAAAATATGCTTTTGAACGTCAAATTATGTAGAGAAAAGCAATTTATATATGTAGAGAAAAGCAGCAAATTCACGATGGTACTAATCAAGAGTGCTTCACCCACAACCGTATTACGTTTTTAAAAAATGTTTGCACTTGCTCCGCAATCGCCCCGCAACCGCATAAGCCTAAACCCACCCG